CTCAGCCGCATCACGATGTCGGGTCTCAGTCAGATATCAACGAGGACTCGCCTAGCCTCAAAAGATGTGCTATCTCCAAGCATAACCGGGCGAGACATGAAAAGAGATGTTTCGTTCAAAGCGTTTCCGTTTAAGAATATTGCCTTGTTACGCCGTGGTGGAAACTAGTCTCCGTACCTATGATCTATGTCTTTTCCTGGGTTTAGGATCCATGTCACACTACATCTGTACCAATCAAACACTCAAGACATGGTTCTTCGTTTATGATTCCATGGCTCTACTAAATGCAACTCTCGCGTTTTGATGGCTTATTACTTGGCTCCTTGAAAATTTTTCAAGATGTAGAAGAGTGAACAGACTCATGTGCACCATTGTAAACCCAAACACTCCTGTTGAAGTCGTGATTGACACGTTCAAGAGCATCTTTGAGCAGAAGGCGTTTGGATCTTTGGAGTCGCTGATGATCGCCTCCGCTCTCCTTCTAAAGAGCCTCTATGAAGCATTTGAAGAGTTTTTTAAGAGCGCTCGAAGAACATCCATTCGAACTCGGCACCGTTTATTTCAAGAATGTGACCACTGCTTTTTCGAAAAAGTCAGGGAATTCAATTGGTCAGGTGGAGACGGCTTCGTCGGGTTACTCTCAAAGGGGAATATCAACCTCTCCACGCCACCAGCTTCGAAGGGTGTAAAGACCTGACCTTGATATCATCATCTGGAGGGCTTATTGTTTCCTGGGATAAGGCTCTTCCACCTATTCCAGATGGCCCAACCATCCGCAAGTCGTTATGTCGATTGATTCTCGAGAGGAAGATGCAAGGACATGTAATAATAGGGTAGAAGCCCCGCCAAACCTTCAGTGGCTTCGACTCAGCCGCATCACGATGTCGGGTCTCAGTCAGATATCAACGAGGACTCGCCTAGCCTCAAAAGATGTGCTATCTCCGCATCCATTACTTTGCACTGATAATCCAGACCCTGATACTAACTAGTATGGTGTGAGCTCTCCGAATGCCTGCGATTGCTGCCAGACAGAATGCTGTGACATCCAGGAGACCAGGCGCTTCACAGAAAGCAAGATTTGCGGGTTCTGGTGCATTCTCTATGTCAATCTAAAGATCAAGGAGATGCCCTGAGCTAGCGCTGTAGAGTTAGCAGCTGCCGCTCTCTTTCTGCTTTGGGAAGCGCCCTCATGCAAAACACGAGACGTTCCACTATCGTGGCTTTAAGGACCAGGATATATTTCACATGCATTTAGAGGGACTGGTCAATTCATAGCAGGATTTCTAACTCAACAACGAGGCCAAGGAGGACCGAAAGTATACAGTATTAAGGCTAACATCATGTGACCTAACTCTCACGCAGGTAGCCTGTCATGCTCTTCTGGGTCATTTAATGAGTTGTGCTGTGCAGGGCTAGCGACTCTATATTCTTATCCTTTGTGGGACTTTGGCCGTAACAATCGCCAAGGTGAAATGTTCAAAGGGTGAAAGATTACAGCTAGATGTCGAGAAATGATAGGAAAGGTTCAGGGCCATCCTTTGTTTGGATTCATGAATAGCGGTCTAAGGTACTGGATCGCAGCATTGAGTGAGCGACTTTGACATTAGAAGCCCCAAGCAAGTATCTCTCAAGTGTCTTGAAAGCCTGGCGTTCAAAGACAAATCCAACCAACTTATTATAATCCCTCCACAACACCAACCTTCTCCTCGGGTCCACTAATGCGACTTCAGCAATTTCCCATTGAATTGTGTAGCCTAAATTTACGCTGGCCTCATGATGAGTGCGTGGATCTCGAAGGCCAACCTCGGTCACCGAAGTAGGGTGATTGGTTCGGCCGATTAGATCACTCACCAACCACTACTCTGCACAATACCCGTATTCAAATACTTGCATACATTCAATCTACTTGAGGTTAAAAAGTCGTACGACACACGTCAAATGTACCTTCTGGTAACACGAGTGGGAGTAGCTCCGGAATCAAGGTCCAACGCAATGTTCTCAGTCCGTATGAGCGGCTTGGTCAGGAGTACCTTAATATGGCTTCAAGTTTCGATCAAGCTACGTCAGCTCCTGGGCCTCATGTTGAGATCATGACGCCACCCGTCCTAAGGATGACTCTTGGGGACGTGATCAGTGGATGGAAGCTTTTGCACAGTCGCTGAAAGGACCAGCTGGTTTAACTAATATATATCGAGTGTAGGTTGGAGTGCCTTGAATCTTGTGGCTTTGGCAGGAGCAGCTTCAGCCTGGCTGATGTAGGAGAATGTTCAGGTTCCGATGATCCTGTATATAAAAGGGACGGACTTACATAAATGCAGAAGACACCAAGGTGACCTCGTTAAGGGCGATTAGAAACGTAAAGTCAGATTCCAGAGTTGACGTTCATGGATCATATCTTCTACGATGTTCAAGACTCCCTATGGGACTTGCAAGGCGAGGAAGGCCATGATCGTGGTGTACTGAGCCTTATCTTTCCTCAGCCCGGTGAAATATTCCATGCCGTGGCTAACCCTCCCATGAGTGGCGATTATATCTCCACTACGGAGTTGATGGATACAGATATGCTATTAAACATGACACCAGTAGGCCAATACTTCAACAATCAGTCCACTTCATTATCAACAAATGGACAGCGTACCGAGAGAGTCCATCTATGTGGGCAGTGCGGCAAGGCATTTGCCAGACGAGCGCTCGCCGAAGGCTGTGAAAATAGAGATAGTGGCGTACGTCCCTTTCAATGCTTAAAGCGCTGCGGTGATCCGAGCTGGTATGTGGCCAAGTCCTTTCTTGCAATGACTGCGCCGTGGAGGCTGACATAGTCTATCACCTCCAAGCACAAAGACATTCTCCGGCAAGAAAGAGTGGTACAGACACGATCGCCTTCCTTCACAGAAACAAGTACCTTGTAGGATCTGGTCAGTCCTGACCGTGTAGGTGATCAGAGGGTGACTAACTATAGCTATCCCCACAGTGGATCCTTCGTCTCTAAACATAACCGCACTAGACATAAGAAGAGGTGTTCCATCCAGCGCATGTCTATTTAAAGAGGTAGGCTTGCAACGCCCCTCGTGCATAAACCATAACCCGTACCCTATGATCCATGCCTTTTCCTGGGTTTAGTTTCCACGTGGCAACACATCTATACCAAGTAGGTACTCATAGCATAGCTCTTGTTGGTTGTCTTGTAACTCTCTAATGGCGCTATCGGTTTCTGACGAAATATCGCCCTGCTTGTCTAGTTTTCTGAAGGTGATAGTGGCCGATCTTGACAACTTCAGCAATATTTGGTGGTAATTCTTTCTTAGCGTTGACTGTGTTATCGGTGTCCATGCAGTAACAAAGTGAAGGAATCTAGATGTCTTGATGTGCTCGGTTTGATCGGCTAGCGTGCTTCGTACGATCTGTAGATATCGGAATGTTGAGAAAAGATGATGACTTTTAATTTCTATGTCTTATATAGTCGTTTGGAGAGTCGAAGTGAAATCGTGTTGAATTGGTGTCGAACCCAGTATGGCCAGCATTTGATCCACTTGGCACCTCACCACTTCTCCCACATACGGTTCAATGAGCAAGTTTTCAACAACTCCTGTATAATATTAGGCATTCGACATATCTACCTTCGGATTCGCGCATAGAACAACCAGTCTCCTCTTGCAGCACATCTCCTCCGTTGATTTTCGTTGCACGGGCTGACCGGATACACCACGAACAATTTGGGCATACATCGCATATTTCAGCACATTCGATATCATATTCTTGGTCCATCAATTTATCCAAGTAGAATAGTTGTCATTGGCTAGGATCAATATCGAGCCACCAGTCGCAAAAGATTCACTGAATAGCGCTACACCATTATCGTGAGCGCTTCCTCTCTATTGTGCTCTTGAGGCTATCATCTAATGGCATACAGCAAATTTTTACAGAAATAAACTCATTCGGAGCAAATGGAGCCGGCAACAACTCCACGGTCAGAAAACAATAGAACACCTCAAGAAGCTCGAGATCATCTCGTGTCGTCTCCCGAGCCTTTGAATATCCGAGTCGAAGATCGTAGAGATACTGATCTACAAATACAGATCTTCTCAAAAAGACTGCAACAGTGTAAGTACTTCTTCATTTATTGGGTCAAAGGACCCCATCCTGACTCCTTCCACCAAAGACAGGTTGCCTCACGCTGTCCAAGCATCGATTAACTCGTGGGTAAAAGGTGCCAACTCACTGGCTGTCGTGGTGAGTAATCTCGTTTCGTCGGATTGGATACATACTGATGGTCTCAAGACGGCACTCTTTGCCGCGGTCCAAGTATCTCTGGTTCAAATAGTCGTATCCTACGAAGATGCTGGGAACAATGTAACGTGGAACACTCTGCGTTGGTTCATGTATGCCGGGGTGCTCACTGACCTTGGTGGAACCGCCTCCGCCATCGCAATTGTAAACATGCTGTCTTCTGCAACGATCACGGCGCGCTCCAAAGCTATCGAAGTCATGGATTCTGCTCCAAGAAAAGTAATGGATGGTCTGCCTATCGATCCCAATCTCTTTACCGACTCGCAGGAGGTCCAACTCTTACGCGAATTTGGAGTCTCTTCCGCATTCGCCAAAGTGGGTTGGCATATGCTTCTCTCTTTTGTTTTCGGGAGTGTCTTTATCTTTATATCCCTACTCCTGTGGATAGGATTAACAGAGCCTCGCGAAATTCTTTGGGCCGTGCTACCCATCGCTTTGATTGCTTTATTCCCTGTCCTGTTTATTGTTCATCACGACTGATTCTTCATCCCCTCTCATTCATATGTATACTTTTACAAGCAAGTTATCGGAAGGAACTATCGGATCCGGTACAATGTGTATTATATCCATAATAAATCTGGGTGATAAAACGATGATAAACCATACAAGCACGATTAGAAGCTAGCTATGATCTAGATTACTTAACTGTATGAGCATTGAAATATAAGCAAATCGGCCCTCCGGCTCTCAAAAATCATGCAAGAACCAATGGCGCCATCAAGAAGGTCTAGGTCGCACCGTGATACATATAGTAGGCCCTTGGGACCCTGCGCATCCAGCCCGAAAGGGGTGAATAGCTCCAGCCCTAAAGTGAGGCTCACCAGCCCTGGCTCCTTTACCAGCTACCGAGTGACCGTGGAGTAAATTTGTTTTACGCTCTACCACAAGAACGCGAATAAAAAGGTGGCAGCAGCCACCAATGCAACTGGCAAGAGTGTTCCACCAAGGGCGTATCTTTGTCCTTCAGATGACCAAACCCACAATAGAATTGAAACGAGGGCAGAAATAAACCCAAGCACGAAACAAACCACCATATGATACGCAGTCCCGGTGAATTTGCCACGGAGACCCCATGCGGCGAGTAAATGCTTCTCACTTTGGAGGAGTGTAATAGGAATATCCTCATTCCGAAAGTATACTCTGTGAGGAAGAGAGTACCTATCTGTTAAGGCTGCATGCCTCCCTCTGACCGGTATGCCGGACGCCATTTGCATGATGACGGTCGCGGAAATGGCCCCACCGAGGTGAAGAAATATGCCGGCATACATGAAGCCTCTAGTAACATTCCATAAGCGGCCTGTCTTCTCTTCTGTTGGAGGCAAGTTTTGTATGAGGATGATTTGTACAGCTGCAAACAAGGACATCTAGAAAACATGCTCAGAATCTATTCGCCACTATTTAGCGCATAGAATGTGAAGCAGTATACATACAATAATAGCCATAGTATTTGCGTTCTTTATCCATGAGCTCATCGTAAAACCGACCGCTTGAGGAATATCATCTAAACTTGGAATGAGGTTACTGAAATGCAAGGGAGAGAGAATAACAGACAGTCTTCAATAGACTTGCTTAATTCCTCGGGCTCGTCCATAGGCTCTGGCGAGGCCGTTCGCTCCATACTTCTGAGTTCCATTGGAGAGGCTAAGGCATTCATGCTCATCTTGACTGAAAGATTAAAAAACAATCCACCTGAACCATGCAGTAGTCGCAGAGTTGATTGTGAATATTGGCCCAAGTGCGGCCAGGTCCAACGTCTCCCAGCATACGTTGCATTGAGGCACTGCTCGATCACGTCCGTTCCACAGCGGCTACTGGAACACAAAATCACAATCATTTCTTAGCTACAAAATTCCTGGCACCTCAATGATCAGGGACTGGAGATGGTGAGACTTCATCATTATCAGGCAAATTAAGATTTGAAGGTTGGTTACATTGTTGTTTGAGTTCCAACGATATTCTACACTGTACGAATATACTGCAGAGACCAGACGATTATAAAATGTTCGCTTCATGAGATCAAGGATTATTTGCGCTTTCTCCTCCACCTTCCGTCGGTTGTTCAGGGGCATTGGGCGAATCAGATGGTGGGTTCGCCGGTGGATCAGCAGCAGGTTGGGAAGGCGGCTGAGTTTCGGAAGAGCCTTCTCCTTCCTTGGACTCGGTTGGACCTTCAGGTGGTTTAAACGCCTCGGGTGGCAATGCTGGCTCGGTCTCCTCATCGTGCGGAACTGGGTCCTCTTTTTCAGCTTTATCAGCTTTGAATTCCTGAGCAACTGTTACGGGGGAAGTTGGTTGAGGTACCGGAGCAGGAGTGGACGTTGGTGCAATGGGGGCAGAGAATGCCGGCATGTTGGGCACGATCCCGAGGTTTTTTATCCTATGGAGAGCTTCATGAACGCGCTGTTCGGTTGGTGTCGTGAATCGGCGATCGCAACCAGGTCGAAGACATCTGTATGGGCGGTCATCATGCTCACGAATATGATCTAAACAGGTATTTGTTTAGCAACACGGGTATCAAAATGCAAAGGAAAGGCTGACGTTTTAATAGATATTGTTTTTCGAAGGATTTCCCGCATCCTGGGACCGGACAGGTGAAGTTTTGTTCTTGATTTCCTTGTTCGGCTTCACGTTGTCTAAATTCCCTAGCACGCTCAATCTCATCTGTGGCCGATTTTGATGTGGAAGCTATGGTCGAGCCTTCTACGGCGGTTTGTCTCGATGGATCAAGGCTTATATTGACCTGGTTGAGAGAAAGGTCCTTTTCTATTGGAATAGGCTCTCGGTGTTGAGACAAGGCAGGGCTCGTATGTACGCTCTCGATGTATGCCTCAGATTGGTCGTCTCCTTCCCCAGAGGATCCCATCCTTTCCCTCCACAACTTGAGCGTCAGGGTTCTCTCGTCGTAGGTGCGCAATTTCTGGAAAATGCGGTCTGTCCGGGAATTGCGACCGTTTTCCTGGAGGTGTGTGAGGTTTGATTTGTTGGATAGAAAAGATTCTTACAAAATAGAATCGTTTAGAGAAGAAGGTATCATACTGCTTCGCGATAGCAGGCAAGCGATCCTTGTAGTCATCGGAGGATCCTTCCGCTATCCACTCTTCAACTTCATCCTCAAGGTCCATTAGCTGGCTAGATAATAGTCAGCATTTGTGGGACGACGACAACATCCCTCACTCTTCGAGATCAATTCTCTCTTGTTCCTGGTCGAGGTCAGGACCTTCTGATTGATTCACTGTATCGTTTAGGCGGATAACCAAGTGCAACGCTTGTCGTGCAATGTGAATGGTCTGTGCAGAGAAAACAGGAGCGCGTCTAGCCATTTCCAGGATTCGTGAAGCCCGGACGTAGGCAAGAGTGAGGAACGGTGCGAGTGGTTGTACAGGTATGGCTTTGAACTAACATCTTTGTAAGAGAGGGCCTGATTTCGGTAATGAATAAAGCATACCTTGCCTAAACCGGAAACCCCACGAGAAATGAGACTTCCGGCGTTCCTACGGGATAATTGCCTATCCAAGTCTGCATGATACTCTTCCATCATTTCCTTTTTCCACTGGGGAACTTGTTCTAGCAAGGCTGCATTAAACTCTTCATCTTGGATCTATGGGCTGGTCAAACTCATGCTACAACTGACTTGCTAGACGCCCACATTCGCAAGTGAAGCAAAGAATTGTGCATCGATGAGTGCTTTATGGAGCTCCGAGCCGCATTCTATAATGAGAGGACCGAGGATCTCAAGGACCCGTCGCTTTATGCCATTCTCCGGGTAGTCTAGTCGGCGTTTAAGAGCAGCGACTACTTGATTTGCTCTGTAAACTCGTTCAGAATAGAATTAGCGACATTAAACACTATAGATACCCTGAGCTTCCCTCTGCCTTTACTCTATCCGTGATATCGTAGATTAGACTCTGATCAGTGTTTGTGGGGTCGGTGGCCAAAGCTTTGGAGGATCAGCACGGCAGTTTTTTCAGCAAAGACTCCATTCATACCGATTTGGGATACGTATGGGTTTGTAGAGGCCATCGTGGAGTGCAGATAAGGACGCTATGGCTGAAGCGCCTCAGTGTGGCCAAGGCTATCTGAGCCAGATTTCCGACCACCGCGTTTTCAGCCTGAAATTAGGGACATTGTTAGCGAATTCATCGATTCTACTTCGTTAGATCTCACCCGTTGAGAGGAAACAAGAATCGAGATTGTGGTAAGGTCCAAATGGATGAGATACGATCGCGCCCACTCAGCTTGCCGCCAACCACATTCGCGAGGGTGGTCACCAAACCCGGCCACAATGGGATTATCAGAACTCATCAAAAGCGCAACGAACAAGAATCCGACCAATGCACGACTATTGTCTCAGTTTAGCCGTCGAGCCACTAGTATCGCCGCAGACGCTGAGCGTTCGAATGATACGGCCAAGTGAGCGCCACAATGATACTCTCCTCTGTGATCTGATCTTATCATCCACAATAGAAAGCAGCGATTAGAAGTGATCGTAGCCAATTTGGATCGCGATTTTGGTGATATGCCTGCCAGTACTGGTATCGGTAGTTTGGGTGTAGCACTGGCCCCTGCTCTCTATGAGAGAAGAAAGGAAATGATCTTTCAGGCTGACACTGAGCTTAACGCTCTTCAGGTATGCATATTTTAGATTCGAACCTATCGAGACTGACAGGTTTAACAGGCGCCCGCGCCGGATCGTTCGAAGCAGATGGAAGAGGCCGCCAAGAAAGACCAAAAAAACCTCGACAAAGAGGTGAAAGCTATTAGAGAGAGCCTGACCCAAGCCTCTGTTCACATCCAGAATTTGAATGCGGTACTCCCAACCCAATCAAGCCTTCACCAAGACCCAGAGTATCGCAAAGCACTCAGTTCCGTATTTAAGGATACTTCTATCGATAATTTACGCACGAGTATTGTCGCTTTCAATAACAGGGTTGCGGTAAGCCGACGTTTTCGCCACTATTTACAATACTCAATGTCAGACAGGCGTTGGAGAAGGAAAATGTCATCGGTAGGTATCGGCTCATGTCATTTGACCAATCATCTCATCATATGTCTAGACGAGAAGTACACCTTCACACTACGCTATATGCATACTCCGGACAAAGAGGAGAATGTGAAGAGTGAGTGCCCCATTTGCGAATTTTGGAACATGTGTTCACATAAACTAGCCATTCCAGTCACATATACTTTCGGAGAATTGAGAGACGATTGGATGTCTCGCGAGGGAGCTGAAGAGGAAGCTGATATTCCAGATTTTTGGATTGAACAACAAGGTTCTCAAAGAAATCATATCACGAAAACAGGGCGATTTTGGGACTTGGGGGAGGACAATGTGACGATAGGTGATGCCTTCAAGGCTGCCGGAATACACTCAAATCAACCGCACTTCATTGATGTAGTTGAGAACGAGAAAGATTACGTAGTTGCACTACTTGAGGACAACGGCGTGGAAAGTGGCAGACCCGTC